AAACGGAACCCGAAACCGAAACGGGAAGGAAAACTAAACCAACGACCCGCGAACCACGCTCGTAGGCCGTCGGGTCCGGACCCCCTCTCACACACACACACACACACACACTCCCTCCCTCCCCTCCCTCCTTCCCTTAGTCCTGGGGATGCTGCAGCGCTGGGCCGCTGGGCCGGACCACCCAGCCAGAGCAGAGAGCACTGGGCCTCCTGCTTCAGAGGAAGAGGCTCCCTCGGCTGCTCCGCCCCCGCCCCGCCCCGGCTCCCAGCTCATCTGTCACGGAGACAGGAGCAGGGTGGGTGGGGGACCCCACGGGCCTCCCTGGGACAGGGATGCTGCTGCTCCTTCTGCTCACAGCTCCCCAGCCACACACTCCCCTCGGGGCACAGGGAGGGGAACTGATAAAAGAAATCCGCACGTATTGAGATATAGGGAAGTCATTCTGGCTTATACATAACTTGAGTTTATGCTAACTAACATAGCCTGTTTGTGGCCTATCAAATATACTTTGTACGCCTGCTTTAATTATCAAAGGGAAAAACACATTGACAGGAAGTAAAGAATGTCCGTGTTAAAACTAAAGATGAAGTGCCGCCCTCCCCGGGACGCCAGTGCTAGTACCCCCTTGATGATGAGACCACCCTCCCAGGTGCCAAGATCATACTGACTCGCAGTGTGTGGCTGGTTGGTTCCCTCTTTTTTTTCTCTGAAACCTTGGAGAACTGTATCCCTGACTTGTTAATGTTTCTTTGCTCTGACAAGGCATAAAACTGCCCTGGAAGCTGTGTTTGCCACAGCAGTGACTCAGAGTAATCTGGGAAGTGGGCTTCTGAGCTAGTTCTCAGTTTCGCTCAAATGGAACTTTTTCTATTTTTATTGTTGATTATTTATTGTTTATTTTTGTCGACAGGTACTTGCTTCTCAGGACAGGCTGAGTAGGGAGAGCGCAGAGCCCCTGGGCTGCCATCACGGACACCAGACACGCACGTTCCAGCGGGGCAGGGGGACTGGGAGTCCCTCTCCCGGGGCTGGTTCTGCCCGGGCCCAGGCTGAAGCTTCTCTGCTGCAGGCGGCTCAGCTCACAGCCCTGCCTCTCTGGGGAGGCCACCACCACATGCTCCTTGCCTCGGGCTGCACATCCCCATGCCCTGCTCCATTGCCATCTTTGGGACACCTCCTGCTTGGAGGCCTCGGGTTACCTCACACCCACGGTGAGACCCAGAGCCCTGATGTCCGCAGGACTGAAAGGGCGTCCAGACCGGCCGGCCCCTGCTCGTTCTTCTGGACAGACCAGAGGAGGCGTGCTCTGTCCGCTTCTGCCCCTCCTGCTGACTTGTTTCCGGGGCTGTGATTTGGGGGTAGGGGGTACCAGCTGAGCAGAATGGCCTCCATGGGGTTTTCTTTCTTCTGAGAGAGGTGGCTGATAGCACCAGTGACCCTGTCCCTGTCCCTGTGAGCTGCCAGGCCTTCAGCACCCCCATCCCTGGGGATTCTGTCATCCCGGGAGCACAAGAGCTCTTGCCCTCACCTCTTCCTGTCTCAGGTACCGGAACCTTCCAGAGAGCCCAGCAAGCCTCCTGGGTTCCTCTGCTCTGTCACCAGCAGTTGTGGGGCAGTGGTGAGAACCAAGACAGGGGTGTGAAGCCCACTGGCGGTGTGTGCGGCTGTGTGAGTATGAGTGCGTGCACACGCCTGCCACGTGTGAGGTGTGCTTGCCGCAGGCTCACCTCCCTCCATTCGATTTCTGGAAGGGGAGGTTAGCTTTGAAGGACAAGAAGAACAGATAGGGTGGCCTGATGGGAGGAACTGGGATTCACCAAGGCCTCAGGACGATTAAGGTTGGTGGGAATTTTACCTCTGTGATTTCTCCCACTTAAGTGCTCTTCGGTATGAAACTGATGTGTCACTTTCCCAAGGAAATCTTTCCTAATCCTACTTCCACTGTCAGAGGTTCCCTCCAAGTGCTCCGTGCTTCCCTCCAACTCAGCAGTGATCACGCTGTTTATGAGTCTGCCTGCCTGGCTCCACTCCGAGCTTCTCTAGGATGGGAACATTCTGAGTGGGCTCTGTAGGTCCAGCGTCCAGCCTGGGGCCACACTTAGGAGGTGCCCAGTGGACGCTGGGCCCAGGTTTGCATTTGGAAGATGTCTCAGGTTGCCAGGTGCATCTGGACCAGAGAGAAGGAGCCCCGAGCCAGGAGACCCCTCGGGGGCTGTAGACTCGGTAAAGGTGGGAGAAGATGAGACAAGGACCGGGAGGTGGGGGGTAGGGGAGGAAGGAAGGTCAACTCACTGGCCACCAGCTCATGGACCTCCCTGCCAGGAAGTAGCCGCCAATGGTCCCTCGGCTTGCACGAATGGATGACTGGAAAGGAAATGGCGAGAGTGAGGACTTCCTGAGCCTCCCCCAAACTCTTCCCTCCACCCCAGATACCCTGCCCTTTGCTGCAGGGGCTGTGGGGACGCAGTGGGTGGGAGCTGGGGCAGACGGTTTCACCATCTTTAAGCTACATGTCCTGGGGAGTCAGCTCCTCTCTCTGGGCCTCCCTGCTCGTCGCCCAGGGCTCATGTGAAGAGCAAAGAGCTAATGGGGGTGAACTGCCCTCATGAATGTCACAGTGCTGCGCTTGTGCCCAGGATCATTGTCATTGTGCACTCTTATGTCCTAGCCGGCCCTCCATTGGAAAGTTGCTTCAGGAAATGAATTGGGGTCTCACCCTCAGGCTACTGTGGCAGGGAGACTGCCCTGTCCCTTGTCCCTTCCTCCCAGCTGGACTCCTACTCTGGGGGCTTGGAGAATGCAAAGCACTTGGGCCTGGGCAGAGGAAGCGCTCTGCTGGGGCACCTCCTGCGCTGGCCTGAGGTCAGACCACACTGCTCAGGCCCACCCAGGACCCTGGAGCAGAACCTGTCTGCACCGGGGTGTGGTCAGGTAGCAGCCTGTTGAGGAATTGCTCTGAAGAGTGAAAGGGGAGTCGGGAGTGAAAGAATTTTCCCTCAGGAAGCAGTGGCTGAGTGCAGGGCAACAGGCAGGGAAGAATAAATTTGAAGCTGTTATTGAGATGCTGAAGCCAACAGGTGTCTGACGGGTCTGGAGACAGAGAAAGGAAAAGGGAAACTAAAGGAAGCTTCTCTTCTCCAAGAGAAAGGGACATGAGTCACCAGGGCGTGCCCGGTATGCGGGGCCTGCCTTTGCTTGGACATCCCCGGGTCACCTCTGGTCCTGGACAGGACAGATGAGCAGGAAGAATTTACGTTACAGATGAGGAAATTGGGACCCCCAAATGGGAACAACTTTTCCAAAGCCATGAGGAGTAGCTGGCGCTCTTCATGGCCGGCCGCCTCCCGGGAGCTAGGGCGGCTCTATTTGTCTGTATCTTCTTCACGTCACCCCGGGGAGCAGGGACTGTTCATCCCGCTTTACAGATCAGGAGACTGAGGTCCAGAGAGCATAAGTGACCAGCTGGGACTCAGATCACCCTCTGCCTCACCGTGGGGTCTAAAGGTGCCCGCATTCCCCTGGGACGCTGCGGAGAGAAGAGCCGTGGGTTACGGCTGCAGGCGCTGCACTGGGCACCGGGCCCGATGCCTACATGGGTCCTGTCCCTGAACCGCAGGACCACTCTGCAGCCTGTGCCTTTTCATTCTCATGTCCGGATGAGAAAACTAAGGCTCCATCTGTTGCCAGGGCCACTTGGCCGAACCTGTGGGAGTGGGCATCGGAACTCAGGACTCCCTGACCTCCGAGCCTGACCCCTGTGCACGGCACCAAGGCTCCGGTCAAAAACGGAGAACAGAAGCACCTTGGGAATCTGCCTGGCTCCCTTCTCGTGAACACACGAGCCCCAGCTCCTTAAGAAAGCATGGCTTCTTGTTAAGACCCCATCTAGTGGAGGGTGGGGTAGGGCCAGGAATCAAGCATTCACGGTGTCGGGGATCCTGGCACGTGGAGGAGGGCAGGAATGAGGGGAGGGGCAAAGGCACAGAGACAGCGAACTAGGAGATGGGGGGTTCAGGCCTGGTCTGCCTCTGGCTCTCTGTGTGAGCTCAGGAAAGTCACTGTCCTCTCTGGGCCTCAGCCACCATCTCTAAAAGGAGGGGCTGGAGAGGATGATTCCTGAAGGCCCTTTCCCACCAGCCCCCATGCTTCCTGGACACACCTTCCTTCTGCCACCCCTGCCCCCAGCTCCATGACCAGCCTCCCCGGCCACCCCTGTCCTCCGGGCCTACTCACCCAGAGCCCCACACCGATAACAAAGACAAAGTAGGTGACCAGGACCGCGATGTCGTAGGCGTGCAGGCTGACTCCAGGCCCCAGTGCTGAGTGAGGAACGGCCTTGGTGCTGAGCCCATTTCCCGAAACTCCAGGCTCCATGGCTGTCAGCTCCAGGCTCATCTGCTTGTCAGTAACCACCAGGCTGGACTTTGAGGCGCTCCGGGCTTCATTCCTTTCCTTTAATGATTAAACCGCTCTGAGTGCCATCGGCCGCTGAGACTGAGCCGCACTGGCACATGAAGTCCTGGCCCCCGTTTCCCCTAACTGCCATCCCATCCTCTGCAGGCCTGGCTCCCTTCCCTGCTCCTGCTACACACATGCACACATACACTGACACACTCATGCACACATACATATACACACTCACACATGCACACTCCCACCCTGGGAGGAGCAGGAGCAGGAGGAAGAGCAGGAAGTAAGGAGTAGAGTCTGGAGTCCTGGACTGGGAGGGACTTCAGAATTCAGGTGTTCAGGCTCCTGCTTGTGTGGAGGGGAAACTGAGGCCCCGGCAGGGAAAGCGACCTAGGGCAGTAAAGGTGGCTCTGGGCCCAGAGTCCAGGTTTCTAAATGGTCTATTCCATGACATTTCCTTATGCCCAGTGGGAGGGACACAGGGGGAAGGGAGGAGTCTGCTGTGTTCTTGTAAAGCATCCACCATGTCATGTGCTCCCACTTCCAACCCAGGTGTCATTTGCCCCTCCCCCATCTATTTTTTTAAAATGTGAGAAATTGAGGCCCGGGTAGAGACATGGTTTATTCAAAGCCACAGAGTGGGGCCAGAATTCACATCTTCTGAGTCCACACTCTTGTCCTGTGCTCTGACAAGTGAACGTTTCTGAAAAGGACACAGAGCATCCTGGGCCCAGGAAAGACCCTCCGCCCCAGGGCCCAGGCAGCCTGGCTTCTAGTCCCAGATGCGCGTCTCACCCAACTGTAGAGTGACCGTGGGCAGGTTGCTGAGCGACTGAGCCTGGGTGTCCTCGTAGGCGTGGCCTCACAGCACCACTGAGGCTGGGGTGAGGTCAGGATGCATTCCTGAGACCCTCTGCAAACCCGGAGGGCCTGCATGATCTTGGGGTTAACGCAGATAAATGGACACTACCACCATCTAGCCAAGGGGCCCAGACAGCAGGCACACAGGCGTGCCCGCACACACTGTCCTGGAGTAGCTGAATTTGAGACATCTTACTCTTGTGAGTATCTGCTCTGCATCCGGCTGCACACACAGGCCAGGGGTCCAGGCTGGAGCGGCAGGTAAGGGATCCTGCTGACTGCCCCTCCAACCCAGCATCCTATGAACATCCCAGACCTGGACATGGGATCCCTTTTGGGGGGAAGGGAAGTGAAATATAGACCCTGGGCCCCCTCTTCCCTGCCTCCCTCACCCCCTGACTCAGAGCATCAGGCACAGGTCACACCGAGCCTCAGGGAGTGGGCCACTGCGCTGGGAGGAAGGCCAGGGTCTTCTCAGCTGAGTGGGGCTCAACGGGTATCCTCCCCATAATTACCAAGTCTTTATAGAGGAAGGGTCCTTCACGCTCATATTTAAAGTTGAAGGAGAGCTTTGCAGATCAGCAAGAGGGGCAAGTGATGTGTGAGCAGTGTCAGCATCATCAGGAAAACAGGAAGGACCAGGTGCCTTAGATGGTCGGCCCCAAGTTCTCTGGGGGTGAGCTGTATGGAGGGGCTGTGCCTACAAGGCTGGCCTCACCCTTGAGTGTAACTCAGGAAGAGCTGGAAAATTCTGCACTCAGGCCACCAAGACCACAGTGAGGCTCCTGGACCGATTGCTCTTCCAGAGAAGGAAAGGTGAGTGCAGCCAAGAGAGGATCTGAGTCCTGCACTTCCTCTTACGCCCCCAACCCGAGGGGCCCACCCCAGCCCTACGGGTCCTACTGCCCATGCGCTCTGTCCCCAGCTTCCCTCACAGATGTCCAAGGCTGAGCCCAATCCTAATCCAGCAGGTTTGGGCTCACCCCAGCCTCTCCTCAAAGGCATGAGACTATTTTAAGCTCACCACGCAACTTAGTTATCCAGAGCCCAGAGAGTGCGGGAGGGGCCCAAGGCTGTGAATAGATACTGTGAAGTCTGCCCAAAGCCCCCGCCTTCACCATATCACCGAGCCCTGAGCCCCCACTTGGGCCTCTGATTTTCCACCAGGGCTCTGGTACTTGTGCTCCAGCTCACAGCACTTTGAAAACGACAACCTAGCAGTGGGAGAGACGCTGCCCGAGGTGGGCAGAGCTGCCCACGGACAGCTGGGGGACGGGCAACTGACAGTTGGATGGCGCGGGGAATGTCATTAAAAGCAGGCAAAGCACAAAGGATGCTGCAAAACACAGTCCAAATTAAGGTGAAATGACCTATAAAATAGGGCAACTCATTCTCAACCAAGGGCGTTCTTGGAAGAGTCACATGCGTGTCAATGACCCAGAGTCACGGAGTAGGACCACTATGGATTTTCTATTCAGAAGGCATGGATTGTGAAATCCAGGCAGGAAGAGTTTCATTCCAAATGATTTAAGATTCTAGGCAGGTGTTGATATTCAAGGAAGAGGCCTCATTTGTCCAGGCGATCCTCTCAGAGAACCCGCAAGACGGAAGGGTGTGGTCAGTTGTCCTTCTTACAGGAGGCGGGCACCCGCGGTGCACCTGGCCCTGGGAGGGACACCAGCCCTGTGCGGTGGTTCCCAGCCCAGCAGGAAGGGACCCTCAGCACAAAACAGGTCAACATCCCCCCAGCTCCTCCCAGCTGAAGAGCAGGAGGAAGGAGCAAAGTCCAGTGGTGGCGGGAGGTTTGGGGGAGGCCTATGGAAGGGGGTGGATTGAGCCAAGCCTTAAAAGAAGTGTAACAGGCCAAAAAATGGAAGTTCCTACTGGGGCTCCAAGATACAACACAAAAAATTGCTGAACGAGAGGTCAGTGTGCATAGTAAATACTGGACTAAACTGGACCGACCATTCTAAAGGCCCTGGGATGAGGATACACAAGGGTTTTGTGACTATTTCTTTGGCTAAATCCTTATTATATTTTTCCAACAATAAGGGGAAAGGGTGTCGGGGGTTGCTTGCCCCCAGCCCCAAGATTTTGGGGTAGAGGGGGTTTGGCAGGGAAATTTGGAGAGCTTGGTAAGCTGCCCCCTCAGCTGGGGTCACTGACGATGGAGTCTGCCTTGGCCTGAGCAGGTAGAGGGCAGAGGCCTGTGGGGGGCTCTCTGCTTCCACCGTGGGGTGGAGCTGAGCTGTTGGTTTGGACTGACCTGCACCCTGGGGTAGGGCAAAGAATGGGTGGTGTTTTTTAGTGTGTATGTGTATGTGTGTGTGTGTGTGTACTAGGTGTGGGCCACATGCATGAAAAAGACAATGTGAGGGTCTTCTGAGACCCTGTCCATTGGGCCACCTAGAAGGGGGGCGTGGGGCCTCGGCTGTCAGAATCTGGAAGTGAGCTCCAGGTTTATGGAGGCTGTGAAGAACGGATTAGGGATACAGTGCCCAGATGTGGGGGTGTCTGGGGAGGGGATTCTGAGCAGACCGTGGAGCACCTGCAGGGAGGAGTCAGGTAAAACTTGTCAGGCAGGAGCCAGAGCCAGGGCCTACTCAAGTCAGAACCTCCCTGCCCAGACATCTCCTCCCTCTTTGGCACCGCAGCCCCTGGGGATCAACCAGGACGAGGTGAGAAACAAAACGAGCTGATGGTCCCCGGCTTCCCAAGGCTGGCCTGAATCAGCCCCAGCTGAGGGCCAGAACTGCAGGGAGAAGCCTTAACTCCAAGTGAAGAAAGAAGTGTGGCCTAGTGCCTGGCACTGGGCATGAGAACTCCTCGTAATGTCTGTGCTGTCAGAGGTAAAGGACAGCAGGGATTGCTATGGTTTACCTGCAGCCAGGAAGCTCGCGGAGCCGCCTGACTCTTAGCCTAGGGATAAAGGAAGACCTATACTCCACTGTACAGGCTGCTTAAGTCAGCTGCTTGATGAGCGTTGCCTGCACCCTCTATGCCATGTGCAGTTCACAGTAAGTAGAAGGCCAGGTCCCTTACTTTTGGCACCTGCAGCCTGGGTCACCCTTAGCCTGTGCCCTCGCTGAAGATCCTGGAAACCAGAGTTCTCCTTGGAATCCTGGACCAGCTAATTCCACCAGCCAAATGGCCTTGTCCTCTGAGATCACCACCCTAAATGGCGGTCCCGGTGGACAGCTCACCTCTCCCATCTCCCCATGCCCACAGGCCTGCACTTGCCCGGACTCTCCCCACCCCACTGGCTCTGCTTGCCCCCGAGTCCACAGCTCATGGTGAACAGGCACCTCTCAGTCCTCAAGCTCCTCACTGGCTGACTCTCCACCCCTGTCCTCGTGACCAGATGATCTCAGGGCACCTTCTTCCTCACAGCTGGCTCTCACAGAAGCTCCTCCTCCCTCGTGGCCTGGAGTTGGGGACAGAACCCTCCTGGCACTTCTTTCCTGCTGCACTGCACACGTGCGCCCCCCGAAGGGCCACACTGACCAGGTCTTGGTCTGTACTGTGACCTCTGCCATCATCCTTCCCCGCAAGTCCTCTCTGACCCTCAGCCTGGGAACCACCACACTCCCAGCCTGCCCCTCGTTTACCTCCCTGAAGGTACCTGTTGATTTGAGATGTGTCTCCCTTAGACCTGAGTCCTCAGGGGCAGGAACCTGGACATCTCACGCTTGCGTCCCCAGTGATGGAGCAGGGTCATTGTGTAGCGAACAGAGAGTTTAACAGATTGTACTGGAGTGAGAGTGGTGGCAGGGCCTCCAGGCAGGGGGACCAGTAGGCACAGAAGAGTGAACAGGAGTGATGTGTTCAGTGAAGGGCTTGTGGTGGGGCTGGAGTGAGGGTCTCCGGGGAGAGGGTGCTTAAAGGAAGGGGTGCTGAGCCTGGCAGTTTAGAAAATCTGTTTGAGGCCAGCATGGGCGGGGGTGAATGAGACTAAGGAAGCCAGCATGGAAGTTTAGGCAGAGATGGGCACTTAGTTGAAAGGATGGAGAGGACAGGGTCCTGGCTGTTCCTACTGAACTGGAAGCATGGAGAGCTCCCCAGGGTCCCTGCCCCAACCGTGAAGTCAGGTCCAGGACCTTCCATGTTGAGGGACCCCAGCTTTTGGAGGTACTTCCCTTCAGCTCCCAGTGCCTGCAAAGACTCATTCTTGACACAGAGCCAGGAGCGAGAAGCGGCCCTGGGTTTGCTCCAATCCCAAAGGGACTGACTGTACCCAGCATATGCAGGGGCTAAGCCTCTGGCTGAGGGAATGAAGCTCTACGGGTGGGATCTTGAGCACAAGGGTGAAATGCTGAAGGTACAGTGGGGCCCTGAGCCCCGGAGCCCACCAGTCCACACTGTGGGTTCGGAGTTTTCCATGTGGAGGGAAACCCCCTCTCATGCTGCCACATGCGTTTTCACATCTCCTTCGGGAACTCCCAGCCTCAAGAAGAATCCAGGACAGGTTCGGTTTTACCTCTGGCTGGCCTCACCCTGACTACTTGCACGTTCTTCCTGAAAAACCACTCCAGCCAACCTTCCTGCTGAGAACTTCCTCTTCCAGAACAATGGTGGTAGGGACTAATATTTACCAGTATGTGGCAGAAGCCGTGGGTATGTCACTCCCCAAATACGGTCGCAATCGTTACGTTAACTGTGTGAGCTGGTTTTATTATCCCCATTTTGTAGGGGAGACACTGAGCCTCGCTGGTGATGCCGCATAACTACGACTCATTTGGGTTCTGGATTCAGGCCTGATTCACTCTAAAAGCTGTGCCACGCCACACGTCCCTTTTCTCCCAGTTCTTTGTCCAAGGGAGAGAGATGGAAGTACATCCCTTCCAGTGGTGGGTAGGGACTGTTCCATTTTGCCCCTTCCAGTGGGAGCTCTGAGAGGGCACAGACATGGCTGGACTGGGGACAGGAGCCCCACTGGGGTCTGGGTCCTGGTTGCAGAGACCTGTCAGCTCCCTCCCCTGCCAACCTAGCCCCCCTTCCTGGCCACCTCTGCCTGTTCCTGCACCTACTCTAGCTCTTAGCCTGTATGGCCTGAGGATGCTGTTTCTTTTCCCACATGCTCCTCTCAAGTCAAATCCAAATGCAGTTTCATTTAATTGATCTTGTCACTCCCCGAGCACATTTTTTGCCAGGCCCTTTGTCAAGGCTGTCCCACCGCACAACCCCGGGGGCACGATTCCCCAGGAATCCGACATCACGGCTGCCGTGGCATCGTGGAAGGCAGTGGCTGCACTCTCTGCACTGGGCAGAGAGAAGTACGCAAGACCTGGTCCTGAAGGAGGGGATGTGCTGGAGGAGAAAACCACACTGTCTGCAGCCACCGGCCACAGAGGCACTCACCTCTTCACGGGGCCTCCCGCCCAGCCACCGAAGGGCCAAGGCATCCGGACGGCCCCAGGTGCAGACCACACAGCGGGAAAGGAAGCAGGCCCCATGCGGAGAGGCTGGATGCTAATTCTGAGAGGAAAGGATTACTACGGAGGAGAGTAAGACTGAGAAAGATGGTGATGGAGACCCGGCGAAGGAGAAAGGAGAGGAAAGAAATGAAGGGAGTCATATGCATTCATCATTAAGAATGAGCCCTGCCAGACCCCTACCTGCACAGCCTGGCCTGGCCAAAACCTCCGGGGCCCCACGTCTCAGCCTCAGCTCAGGGCAGCTGCTCCCCGATCTGGTGTGGCTCTGGCAGAGCCTCTGACAGCTCAAGCCAAGGATGTGAAGAGCCCTGGCTCCTCCCCCCGGGGGAGGTGGGGGGGATGCCCTGAAATCCCACTCCAGCCCACAGGGTCTGGGTCCAGGGTTCAGAGGGGCAAAGCCCCTCCCTGCTCCCTGATGATGTGCTGGGGAAAGGAGAGCTTGTTCTGGGCTCAGACTTCTCCAGCTCCGCAGAGTCAGATGTGAAGCCCGCAGCTCAGAGTTAGCTGCTGTGGCTGTAGCAGCCGTTGACTCCCCACCTACCTGGGGGCAAAAAGGCAGGAGGAAGGGTGGGGCAAACAGGTTTCTCAAGGCTGGAAACTTGGGCATTGTCTGGAGCTTGGAAGTAGGTCTCAGCGTTGGGCCACAGCTCATGCACAGGTGTGACTGGCGCACACACACACACACACACACGTGTGCACACACGTGACTAGTAGCTTGGCTCGGAAGCGGTGTGGGAGGTGATGAGGAACACACAGGACTTCGGGTCAGGCAAGCCCAGGCTTATCCAGGCGCCTCCATTCACCAGCACGGTGACAGGGGCAAAACGTTTCACATTTCTCCGTCCCCTCTTTCTCTTCAATAAAATGGAGATAATAACTATCTCATAGGTAGCTGGGAGGATGGGATGAAATAGTGGATGTGGAAATGTTTTGTAAACTGCGAAGGACAGCGAACTCAGGAGGCATGGCTGGTACCTGAGTCCCCGGGGGGTTCCGGCACCAGTAAAGCAGTGAGCAGAGCCATGACCCAGAGTCAGAATTTGAGTCCTGGTTCTGCTGCTCGCTAGCTACACTGTGATGGGAGAATTATTTAACCCCCTAAGCCTAAGATTTTGCATCTGTAAAATGAAGTAATAATACGTACCTCTTAAAGAGTTGGGATTATTAAGTGAGATAATGTATGTGCAACGAAATGTTAAAACAGGACATTTTCTGTCCCAATTTTGGTTGAGGTCCCACGGGTAAGAACAGTATAATAGGTGCTTAGTAGCACCCCCCTCCCTTAATTCTTTTTAGGATCTCCAGCCTGTCTGATCCTGTCCCTGCGACAGTTTCTCGGAGGAATGGTTCGTGTCACCATCCCTGGCCACCCACCTCCAGCCTACTGGAGTGGCTATACCTGAGTCAGCCTAAGAAGTGGCAGTTGTTTTGCAAAAAGTTGTTGGAGTGACCAGGCAACCTCTCACTCCCCCTCTGCACGGTGAGGGGATGGCATTTTCACCCTCCAGTCAAGCCAAGAGAGAAGCGTTTCAGAGGGTCCATGGCGAGTGGTGTGAGGCTGGGGGCTTACATTCCCTCTCTCAGCCTCAGTTTCCTTGTATGTGGAATGGGGGTAACAGAGTTTACCTCGCAGAGGCTTCCCGAGGTAAAAGCGAGTGTGCACAGGCGCAGGGCACTGTCTCTGGGCACTGTTGCTCTGGTACTGTGATCTGAGGGGGTGAGACGAGGAGTCATCCACACAGGTCGCAGTACCAGCAGCACGAGTGTCCAGAGACACAGGTGACGCTGGTGCACAGTCAGACAACTTGGAGACTTCCTTGGTCCTGGCAAATTGCAGAGCCCCGAGAGGCCTCAAATGGGGTTGGTGGGGGGTGGCTTCACGCCTGAGTTACTGTCACTGCGGCTACGCAAACAAGTCCCTGGAGCACTCTCCAATGAGCGTCTGGCTCTCGCTGGGGAGAAAGGAAACAAGCCATGACTTCTCTGTTGCCTCTCACAAGAAGTCAGCTGAGGAGATTCAGAGGATCCTGGGATTAGCAACTGGAGGCAGAGCCTGGGACCCGGGCTTATGCTCCTTCCAGTCTGTCCTAGCTCATCTCAACGCTCTTTCCTAGATTCTGGTTATCTGGGACTGCACACTAACTTGTGTTATCATTGCTTCCTGTTTCCCTGCTAGTGGTGGACTCCTGGAAGGCAGGGGCTTTATAGAGTTCATTTCTGTCTCTAGCACATGGCACAGGGCCTGGCACACAGTACAGCCTCCCTCACTATATTTTCATCAAATAAATGAATGAATGTATATTACATTAGTTTCCTCCTTTCCTCTGAAAGCTCTTCAGAAACTATAAAACTCAAAACCACACCAGCTGTCACAGAACCACACATAACAGCCAGGATTAAGTCTGACTGTAATATATAACAAAATTAAAAGAATGATTTTGTTTTTCATGGTAAAGTCTAGAGATGAAAAAGGGCTGGTAAGGTCGTTCACAATTTTTAAAGCAACCTCAGCTCTTTTTTTTCATGCCGCTCTACCATCTTTCATCTCATTGTTTAAAATGACTGCTTGAACTCCAGCCATTGCCTCTACATTCCAGTGTACATTTCCTAGAAATTGCACACAACACTTTCACTAATACCCTGTTACCCAGGACTTAGATATGTGATTGCATCTAGCTGCAGAGAAAGATAGAAAATGCTATCATTATTTGGGGTGGTCTGTGCCCTGTCAAGATTCTGTATTTTTTTTTTTTTTACTTTTTAACAGAGAAGAATGGATGCTTGGGGCACTAGAACTTCCAGCCATATCACACTTTATAGTCCAAATGTACACCATTTTCTTACTGTCTTCACCCAGTAGCCCTGCGTGGTACTTGGAGATAAGAGGCATGATCCCACTTCACGGTTGACGATACTGAGGCTCTGAGAAGTCAGCAAGTTTCCCGAGGCCAAAGAGTAAGTTTATGACAGGACTGAGATGGGCACCCATGGCTGCCGGTTACAAGGTTAGTGCTCTTTCCTCTTCATTGTGCTGCCCCAGGCCTTCTTGGAAATGGTGGACCTTGGGCTCCATCCTCTCAGTTCCCTCAAGGAGCATCCAGCAGACACCTGCTGTGTGTGCAGCAGGCACTGGGGACTCAGGGAGAAA